CAATAGCGTACTTCGTAATATAACTTGAGCTATAGGGTATATTTGTCAGCAATATACAACTGCCTCAGGTAAGTATTTGCGTTGATTCGAAAAGAAAAAAGAGAATCTTTCAAGATTCTTATAAATTGGAATGTAAAGAGTAAGAATGTCACAGTAATAAACTATCGTTAGTCGCTGAAGCATCGCCACGATAATAAAAAGTTATACTACAAGAAGTGCAAAATAGAGCATGGTAATTCCGAGTTTTAGAAAGTATTTGTTTTTGTTTATATTGTCTGGAAGAATTGTCAATGCCGCCGATAACTCAACATACAACGCTATGCCATCATCAGACGATTTAAGGTATTTCGTGAATGCGATTGATAATATCGTGTCATACGTTGAAAAGAATACTACTGTATTGCGTTTGCCAAATTTTATGTTCGGTTTATTTCTCTCCAACGGTGAGTATTACAACTTTAACATTACTTTTCCATTAGTGCGTGTTTGTGTAAAGAAATATCTAATCTATCTACTTTATTTTAGAAAATGAAAATAGTCATGACTTTTTTTATAATATAAAGTGACGGGACAAACAAGTCGTGCGCCTGGTGGTAAGCGATACGCCTATCCATAACAGTTGCAGTGCTCCACAGTTTTAAATAGCAAAGATCTTAGGGGTACAGCCACTGCGCCCGTCACCCTGAGACATAAGTTGATAAGTCCTATGTACCTGTTAATTCACCAGCACTCTTACCCTTCCAAACCGGAACGCAGTAATGTTCACATTACTGCTTGACGGCAGAAATAGCAGGAATAGGTAAGGTACTGCTTCTATATAAATGATTTTTACGACGACTTCTATGGAAACTTCATTTTTATTTTCAAATAAAGTTACAGACATAGGTACATAGGGATTAAAAAGGCAACAGCTAACGTTATCATTGCAACAAAAGAAACCCATTTCATTAGGCGCTTTTAGTTTTTGTTGATTTTTTCAAAATGTTGATAGTTGCTTGATTTAAACAAGGTTTTATGCACTCTAACATGTAAGAATATGCTATAAACTAGTTTTATGTAGGCACACACGTGCGCGCTAGGGAGGGAAATGTTTGCCACAGAATTAATAGAGGCGATTATTTGCTGACTCAATAGCCTACTTACTTAGATATTAATATTGATGTCTATTGTATAGATATGTTCTAGAGTTCATGTTTATATAAAATAAAACTTAAATTTCTTATAACTATACAACTTTCAGTTGAAAAGTGTGCCAAGAGGTTTATAAAGTGACTCGGATTTAGTAGAGGTGAAGCTGCAAAGTCTTGAACACCGCCGTAAAGTTGTCTGCTTATCGGTAGTTCACAAGATCAATCACGAAGAGTGTACTATGGAATTGCACGTTTTAATTCCACTTTCCCCTTTCCATTATCGGGGGTCTAGACGTAGGCTGGGGTTCCACAACTATGTAGTAAATATTCTAAGGTTTGACACGAAGCGTTACGCTTCCACATTTGTATGGCGAATGGCTACGGAGTGGAATTGCCTGCTTGCAGACTTATTCCCTTAACACTGTAAGTAATGTTTTTTAAGGCGAGAATGAAAAGGTATTATGTAGGTGTGCATTCTCCATCGTGGACCTCATCGACACAAATGCGCATTTTTTATTTTTTCATAAAAACAAGAATATATCGGAATATGTAGTTTCTGTATTTATTGAATATCACATTGTATGAAATTATTTAACCACATATTCAACGTTGTTAAAAATAACATGTATTTTCTTTAACAGTGAACCTGAAATCAATAACGAGAAACAACGAAAATTTTGTTCATGTGCCTCTAGATGTAAACGAACAGCTCAGTCTAATATCGCAACGAATAGATGCATTAACGTACATTTATAATACTACTTCCATCAAGTTTCTTTCCAAGAAGTCGAGGACGAGTAAGTTATTATAAATAGAACACAACACATATTTTAACAGTCTATAGACTTAAAAAATACTGCTGACCTTGATGGTCTTTCAGTCAGAGTAATTAGTTCTATAGTTGATTGTATTGTGCTTTACTTAGCCTGTGTCTTTAATAAATGTGTTGATGATGTTGTGTTTCCTGACCTCATGCAGCAAAGTAAAGTTATTCCACTTTTCAAATCTGGTAGTACATCAGACACCACCAATTTCAGACCTATTTCAATACTACCAACACTCAGTGAAATGTTTGAAATGATTCTAAATCAGATGTGTACACATTTTTATAGTAATAGCTTAATGTCTCCTAAGCAATTTGGTTTCACTCGGGGTAACTCTACAACCGATGCTGGTGTTGAGTTGATGAACCATATTTGATGCATGGGAAGACTCACATGACGCTGTTGGTGTATTTTAAACCTAAACCTTTCCAAGGTTTTTGGTTGTGTGCACCATAAAACTCTGGTCAGGAAACTTCGCCATTATGGTGTGGTGAGACGTAACCTCGACCTTCTTAAATCGTATTTGATTGGTAGGGTACAGAGGGTCGATGTTAACGGTACGAGGTCATCAGGGTCTGCAATTAGCATGGGTGTCCCTCAAGGTTTAATTCTAGGTCCATTTTTGTTTTTAGTTTATATTAATGACTCACCTAGCGTAATGGAGGATTTAAAACATGAGATAGTATTGTTTGCTGATGATACTTCATTATTATTTAAAATTAAAATGCACCAATGTTTCTAAGAGGACGTGAACAATACTATATCTAAAGTAATTGATTGGTTTGCTGTTAATAGCCTGCTCCTTAATGAGAAAAAAACAAATTGTGTGAAATTTACATTACCCAATGTTAGAGAGACGATTACAAACATTGCAACTACAATTCAATTTTTCGTTTCTAACTAGAAACGAAAAATTTAATCTTGTGGATACAGTTGTATTTCTAGATGTAACGTTAGATGCTAAATTGCAATGGGGTCCACATATAAGTAAGTTATCAAAAAGGCTCAACTCTGCAGTGTACGCGATTAAAAAAATACGGAAACTTTCAGACATCGAAACTGGTGGGTTCGTTTACTTCAGCTACTTTCACAATCTAATGTCATACGGCATTTTGCTTTGGGGTAATGTCGCCTATATCAATAGAATCTTTGACCTGCAGAAACGTGCGGTTAGGGCAATTTACAATCTGGGCCCCAGAGAGATAAGTTTAAGGAAATTAACATTCTTACACTAGCGTCACAGTACATCTGTGAAAATATAATTTATGTTAAGAGGAATAGTAATCTTTTTATGAAAAATAGTGACAGACATAACATTAATAATAAAGTTTTTATTTCACCATAGTTTTAAACTTCGTAAATGGCAAATTTTGTATATCAACCGGAATCTTATTATAGAAGAGTATACATTGCCCTTTAAATGAATTTGTCACTTTGTGAAGATGACTATCAATTGTTGTTCATGATAGACTTCACAAAGTGACAAATTCATTTAAGGAGCAACGTTACGCTTCTGTAACAAGATTCCGGTTGATATACAAAATTCACGACCTTTAAAACTATAGTGAAACAAAAACTTTATACTAAAGTTTATCATACAACTTCTGCGTACTTGGATGAAAAAAATCCGTGTTAGTAACCAGTTTAGCTCATGGAGGTAGTCTCGGTCTTTGATGTTTGAAAGCAAAAAAAAAATATATATTGTAAATGGTGAATGCGAACAAATGTTATTTACAAAGAGCAACCCCTAGAGTTTCTTGCTCATTCTTCTCAGGGGAATCTGCCTTACGAATGAGCGGTAGAGTTTAACTTATGTGACGATTTCAAGTGTAATAATGCTTAGCTATGAAATAAAGATTATTTTGATTTGATTTAATTTATACAAGTCGGCAATACTGTAACACAGGGTATTCTACGACATACAGGTTCTGCTCTCTCGTAAAGGCCTAATATCGTAAGTAGCCTTTTATATGAACCTTTTTTTAATAATACCAAGTGACGAGAAGAAGAAGTCTCGCCTAATATTACATAGATCCTATTTTGAGATGTGTATGTGGGTATTTTGGGTGTGTGACGGGACGAACAAGTCGTGAGCTTGATGGTAAGCGACACTCCTGTTCTCAACTGAGCTTTAAAATGCATAAACCGGAGGGGCACTGCCACTGAACCCGTCACCCTGAGACATATGTATGTTGACAAGACCCATGTGCCTGTAATTTCACCAACACCCCTACCCTTCAAAACCGAAACTAAAATGAGCATTTTAAGGTGAGAGTTAATAAGCCTGTATTAGGAGAGCATGCTGCCATCTTGACGACGTCATCACTTCCTACCTTTTCGCTTGGTAAAGTCGTGGTTCTGTGTCTGCCTATTTCATTGAAACTAAAGTAAGATATTAAGTTTAAAATCCTTAATAACGGTGTTGAGTATTTACAATGTCTTCGAAAGTGGTCGTTTATATTTTTAACCGACTTCAAATACCACCCTTTGTTCTTTCAGGTTCTCAATTCGACTGTTTTGTGTGTGTGTGTGTATGTTAGGCGATTACTCCAGCATTTGTGAACCGATTTCGATAAATATTTTCTTGTTGAAAAGATAGTGCCTCAGTATTAATCCCATTAAAAATTTGGTCAAAATATTACACTTCTAAGGATAGAAAACTAGGGGCTGAATCTGGTTCTGCGCACTTTCTGGTAGCAGATTTCAATAAATTTTGGCAAATAGATGTAATTCCACGAACTTTTGAGGTCGATTTTTTTTATAAAACAGGTACAATTATTGTTGTTGTAATTATATATTCACCCCTTAATACTGCGTTATTATGACCTCAACGACGTGTATAACGCCGTCTCGTGTCATACTGATGATGCTCGTTGCTTGCTGCCCTCATATAGCTTTCTTGTACAGTTATTTCATAACATTTTTATATGTTACAGTCAATCATCTATTTGAAAACACAACGAGATGGTGTAATCAGTTGCCCAGTTTTCATCTCCTACACAGAACTCTAGCAGTGCTAGATAAAAGTCGTTCTCAGTTGGCGGAGATGTATAGTGATTACAAGACTTATGCTGATGTGAAAGCTATAGAAAAATGGGAACCAACACCAGTAATATTGGGTACGTTTACACAACAAATGATTTATATAACAGGAATAAAGGACAAAATGTTTTAACGTTGCCTTAAATTTATGCTTATTATAACCACTTTTGACCCTGCTTTGATTTCCTAGTGAGAATTGTATTAAAAAACAATCCATTGAAAATAACAAAACTAAAAGTTTCCCTAATAAAAATGCATATTACTCTCGTCTTCTCATATGTATGAAAAAATGTGTCTATACGTTATAATTCTTTCTTATGATACGTAGCAAAAATATTGTTAATTCTTTTATTATAATACTATTATGTTACCACATTCCTACTATGTGCGTGTTTCTCGTTCTTTGCTTTTATATTAATAGGTAACAGCCCCATATCTTTCTAAATTAGTTTTGATTATAGTAACCCTTCTTACCGACTCTTAGGGAATACGAGAAGGGCACTATGACTTGCGCGAGCACGCCCGCGCAGGGACCATCTAATTCAAGTCCTAACCCCAAATCATTCCGCTTGCACGAACTTCATCCGGTTCTCTAATACTAGTACCTTAGGTGAGCCGTCCCGGGTGCACGTACAGTACTGTCCCTATTTTCCAGATAGGTACCGGAGCGGTAGGCACGCTCACTTCTCGTCGCGCGACTAACGGTTGCCACTGCTGCTGCAGCCGTCTACCAAATCTCCTCTTTGGTGGCGAAGCTGTAAGGTACGCTCACTTGCCGACGCCGATAAACGGCGTCTCTCTAGTTCCTAAATTCCTACGCGGCTGGAGGGACTTTAGGATACCTAGCTCATCCTCTACCAGCTCTCCGCGCTAGTGTCGGAGATGCCGGTAGCAGTAACCTGCGAGAATATCCGGACATAGCTAACGACTTAAAGGGCAACTCACGTGGCCCGCGCATCTCCTCGCCATGAGGCTCTCGTCTACACCGCTACTAACCACAAACCCCGGCAAGTCCCAAGTTCGGGTCCGTCTTAGACGCCCGTGAAGGCTTATCACTGGCGGAGGGCTCGACCCGGACGCCCGCCGTATTCTGGTCTTACCGGAGCCCGTAGTCTCCCCGGAACTTCCTATCTCTCGGGTCGGTAGATAGGGACAATTAATACACATCAGCGGACGCTGATTTTTTTTACTTAAACATTCGCATCAGCATGGATTTTATATATTAAAAAACATCTACATGAAAACGCTTTCTATTTCCTTTGGTATTATAGTAAAATATTATTTCAATGATTTTGTGACATTTATTATCTTCATGAAAACAATCAATCTGCCTAGCTTAATTGTTGTGGAATTTTATCAAAGTTATGTATTTGTATTTTGGCTTACAGTCTGTTTCTGGAAGGTTTGTAAATTATTCCAGCGTGCCTTTTAGGTTATGTCACGACTCGAGCATCCGCAATTAATATCAGCATCGATGAATATTATAATTTATGCACATTATTCGCGGATGCAGATGCGGATGCTGATATTCGCAATAACCCTGATTGAAACTATTGGATTTAATAGAATAAAAAAATTATGAACTTCTAAATCAATTAATTCTCTTGTTAAAGTCCCATATTCAAAATAACTTCAGAGACTAAAATTGTTCTTTGTTATTTGTTATAGATGAATGCTTTGTAGCATTATCTTCGTACGAATACAAAAATCGAAATAGAAAAGTGAAATTCTGCGAATTGCCTGTATCGTGCAAGAATGTTTTGAAGACTGGTACAGATGTTGGATTTGCTCTATCTCACAGGTAAACAAATGGCTCAACTCACACTGGCGCAGAGTGGAAGTGTCGCGACGCGTCATGTTTTTCGCCTATAGCATATTCATCTCTATTTTCCCATCATTAAGGTACAAATTTGTGTTATGCAAACATGGAGTCGCGTGTCGACACTTGGTTAAAGTCGAGCGAGTGAACTTGAGCGCAGTGAGGCGTCAGACGCCGACCAAACTGTGATCCGGGCTTACTAATGCTGGCGTCGACGTGCGTTGCTAGGCGTTCTAGTTGAAAAACAGGACGCGACACGGGACGCTTTGACTCTGTGCCAGTGTGAGTTGAGCCTATGGGGTAAAAAACAGAATATTTTTCAAATTCGCGGGAAATTAAAAAAAATCTTGTTTTGCCTTACTGATTAGTTCTGGATTAACTGCACTAAGTTTCATTCATTTACTAGTATCAGCAAATTGCGTCATTAGATAATAATGCGTAAATAACCCTAAAAGATACGTCATATCGTAGGTGTTTTGTAGAAATGCCGAAAGCGCCATTTCGAAATATTTTTCAGGGGAGCATGTTTCAGGTTTTGACGATTGTTTAAAGTATTTACGGCCTGTTATAAAATTCAATTTTTGTTTTAATTAAGCTTAAGTTTTAAAATAGGACGGAAATATTTTAGTATAGTCGTGACAAACTAAAACTTGAAAAAACCCCCTCCCTTAAAAAATTTTTCGAAACTTTTTCTGCGAAACACCGTCGATATATCGTGGCTAAATCTAATCAGTTACTGACCATAGCATAATTTTTCACTCCCAGAATGGATATGGTTAGATGGTTTAGACTAAATTTATAACCATAGCATAATGAACTTTATGTCAATTGTGCAATGTATAAACTAGATACGAGCCAAAAAATAGGTCGCTCATCTTTCGGAGAACTCTCGGTCAGTCTCGGGAATTCCCGTAGATACCGTATCGTATCGAGTTTGCGCGTTATGAAATTGACTAAGGTTATAAACAATTTCGCTACAAAAGTTCCGCGGCAATGTAAATAGAGCCTTAGTAATGTAAAATACCTACGAGTATACGCTGAAACTCTAATTAGAATGTCTACGATCTTACGTTAGTCTCACCCACACACCGGCCGCAACTTTGACCATACTTTGACAATGTCGTCCAACCATCTCGCTATAAGACGTCACACGTTTCTACAACCATTTCTTGGCCACCATTCGGTTACTCCATCTGTTATCACCACGTCTCACAATATGTCTTGCCCAGCTCGATTTTAAATCCGTTATCCGATTTTCTTTGTCCCGTACCGTAGTTCGTTTTCGGATTCCAGAATTCGGAACTCGATCTATAAGTTTGGTGCCAAACATGACTCGCTTAGTCGCTTATGTCTGTGCAAATAAAGTTGGTTTTAACTTCCATTCTGCTTCCGTTTCAGGATTTTATTCCTAGCCGCAGCTCGCCTTGGAGTGGGTTGCTTTTTATTGGGGAAGTTACAGGACGATGTTTTAAAAGGGAAGCTGTGTCGGGAGGCCTACGACGAAGGACGGTACATTGCTATGAACGGTTACGATTTTATTGGCCTAATGATGGAATATGGTGAGTCATTAGTTTGAAGTTTTATTAAAAAACTTGAATAAAAAAAATAATTATAATTTATTCTAATATTTTTAATTTACCCTATCTAGTTTCGAGCTTTTCTTGAACAATTTTGTCAATGTCTAATCAATCATGGGTCATTTACACTTTGATTTATATCATGTTTAACTACTTAACATTACTATGTAAGTCTATTTCAGCTCTAGAACAATACAAAATAATAGTTTGTATAGCCACAGCATTATATTCAAAATTAAACAGATTTAAATATATCGATATTTAAATATGTTTAATATTGAATATAAATGTTATAAATGTTGATATAAACGATAAAATATTTCTTTCCAATTTTGCGCTTGCGGTTGTCGTAAAATGTGATTTTTTTGTCTTATATTAAGTATTCGTAGCCTAAATATAGTTTGATAGCTTAAAAAAAGTATCTTGTGGAGAAATAAATGTCTTTTATTAATTTCTATTTCTTTTATTATATTTTACACTTTGGATAATTTGTCGCTGTAAAGTGTTTTTTTTTCGCTAAAATTAATACCTACTCTAATTTCGTCTTTTTTCAGTTGCTGTATGTTCTATGTTGGGCCATACGGAGTTTCTTCGACGTGACTGGCTAGAAGAAAGCATACGTCATCAAACTACGGCTGGATGCTTCAACGATCCTTCTAATGCTATAGATAAAGACGTGTCTCATGAAATGGAACGCCCCTGCGACATGCACGTGACGGGCGTAAGTGTAGCCGCCATCACCTCCGCTGTCAGGTGGATACTGGAGACTGACTATTTTTCGGATAACACTATATATGAGGATAAGAAAATGCCCTTACTACCTTTCCTAAGACGGGATTATTTAATAAATTCGGATTAAGACGAAAGCAATAATTTACTCCACCTGGGGTATATTTTCTAAAAAAAGTGCAGGCGTTATTGTGTGGAAATCCATTTGAATAAAAATAAATTATTAATTATTAATAGAAGTAAATTATTTTGCTATTTCCCGAATCCAGTGACTGTTATATCGTGCAAAATAGCTGGGTTTGTATTGGATATTTTTTCCATGCAGTACATTCTACCACCTGTTTCTTCGGCGTCGACCTTTGAACAATCAATAACACCTTAGGATGCCTTGAAAAGAGGCAAAACACGTGTCGGGTATATTTGTGGTGGTGGTATTTGTGATTGTACATGCGCTTGTGTCATATATGTAATTAATTTTATGCGTGGAGAGGGTGGAAAAAGAACTATATGAAAAAATTCAATTTATGAGTAGCATTTTGAACGATTTAATCTTCGCTGGGTTCGCGAAATAGCAAATTAATTTATTTCCATTTTTATTTTCGAAAAAAAAAATCAGCAACAAATAGAACAAAAAGTAGCAACTAATTTTATATTAATGTGACCTATGTAAGGTGATAATATTATATACTTAATATTTAATAATAATTAATAATAAGTGTATTTGCAAAAATTATGTAGCTGAAATGAATAAACGCTATTACAATTTCTATCCAAAAGTGTCCGTAACTGCGTTCTCCTGATGTTTTTTAATAGCAATTAATAGGTTACGTTTTATAACTCGAGATCTCTCGCTGAAACTTTAGTAATAATAAAGTGTTTTGTTATGTTATGTAATAGTACATTATTGCAGACGCCAGGAAGTAAGGGATTAATGGACAAGTATGAGTTACAAGGACGAGCGCCAACGACGCCTTGTATTAATACGAGTCAAGTAATCCTCGTCCCCGCCGAGGCAAGTATAGTATTTTTAAAGTAAAAAAATATTAATTAATTGACAATTGCTAAAAGACAATGAATGCTATTATTTTTCCAGGCACATTAATAATAGTCTGGTGAACTTCTGATGATGAGTTTGAATGTGTATCTATTACTGTATTTTTAACCGACTTCAAAAAAGGAGGAGGTTCTCAATTCGACTGTATGTTTTTTTTGTATGTATGTTACGCGATAACTCCGGTATTTGTGAACCGATTTTCATGATTCTTTTTTTGTTGGTAAGGGGGTACTTCCATAGTGGTCCCATTTCATTTTGAAGGAAATCATCCACCTCTAAGGGTGGCTGTTCACGCATGAAGATGAATTTTTTATAAATAGCGCCTATTTTTTCTTAAGGAGATTGCTCCTTAAGAAAATATAGGCGTGTATTTTAATGGTTCATTTTGCTATTTCTCCAATTCAAGGCGTTTGTCTCTCAATATTCTTTGAGTAGTGAGGACCGATTTTTATAATCTCCAGTGTCAAGTCCAGTATAGTGGCGAATTTAAGGATATTTCAATAAAAATTAGTAAATAGATGTAATTCCACGTACTTTTGAGGTCGGTTTTTTTAGTACTCTGTACTGAGATTATCGTTATCGCTCCTGTCACTAGCACTCATTTTCGTGACCAAAATACACAAAAGACGAAAACGCAAAAGAATACCAAACACTTTAGTTTAATAGTACTATAATTTTTCGTCCTTCGGGACAGGCTAAGGCATCTAATTAGCTATACTGACCTAGGTCTTAGGTTGTAATTTTTCTTCAATAGTTTTATTTTCTGATATCTCTTCGCGGGAAATCAATGTATCTTTACGGTGGCCATTTTGAAACTCTCACTTTAGTATAAATGTTATCGCCATTTTCTTTTTTTTTTGGTAGGTAAGCGATACAGGTAGGTATTTTTAATTCTCGCAACTGAACACTGGGCAGTTGACTGTATGAGTTTTTCTTTTGCCTGTTCATTATTAGTAGGTAGATTTTAAAAATTTAATAAAAAATTAAACTTAATAAAAAATTCATTCAATAAAATAATTTGTAAAACTTAATGTAGCGTAAATTGGAATGTTTTCTTTGTAAAATTAAAAATAAGGTATTTAATTAATAACTATTGTAAGTATAGTGAAAAAATAGGGTGGTTTGCATCAATATTAGACATAACTGGTTGAAGACTGTACCACCTCAGTCAACCGTGACCTTGGGACCTGTAAAGGGCCCGAAACGTCGGTTTGTTTGAAAAAACAAATATACGCGATTTAAATCCGGAAAAATAGTTTCATTCCTATAGATTTTAAAGTTTAGAGAAGTGGACAGTAACGGATTTTCATACTTACTTTGCAGGCCTTGGCCGGGAAGAAGACGCACGGTCCGTAAAGGACAAACTTTCCGTGTTCGTTTTTCGAAAGTAATGTTAACATCTCCGAGCATGTTTGAGAAAAAATAGTTTTATGTTGTGTTTTCATTTTCATCCACGTTTTACTGCTTTAATTACGAATGTTTATAAACCGAAAATTCGTGTTAGCACTATAACATAAAATAAAAAAAAGCACAAAATTGGCCTTAGTTGTGAACTAAATGTGAATCAAAGGTTATTTCAGTTATGCTATTCAGTCGAATACCACTCTATTAAACTTACAAAATCACTAGATAAGTCCTTAGTAGAAGTAATTTTAACTAATTGCAATCAAATAGGATTTTAGTAAGTAGT